TCCCCCTTGCAAAAGAAAAGGCCCTCCCTTTCTTGCCTTGGACAGTGGGTAGAGGGTTGTCTAGTGCCCCTGAAGCCACAGCTGAGGATATGGAGCCTCCCATGTGTTCATTCCCCGGGCCCCCGCAGGCTTCTTGGCAAGAGTAAAAGAAGCTATGCATCCTCCAGAACTTTGTTTCGTTTCTGTGTGACACAAGTCATGACAACCTGAGACACAGTAGGAACACACTAGGAAAGGACACTTGCCACATCAGCATCTTTGAGCCAGAGACTACTGGGAATGCCCTGCAAGCGCCACATCATGGACTCTAGAACCTGCCACAGGGCACAGCAGGCATGGAGCAGTGGGACTCCAGAGAGGGGAGAAGCTCCCTTCCATCCCTTGGCAGAAGCGCTAAAGTCTGGCTTTGCTGTGGACCAGGAAACATGAGGAACCTGCACCCTTAGTTGTGGGAGGGGCCTGGAAGGAGGGTGGTGCCTCGCTGGTTCCTCTTGGCGTAGACTGTACCTAAGTTTCGTTGATGCTGTGATTGAGTGGGGAGTGGTCTTTATCCACAATGGCTAGGGTGCCTGGCCTGATGTTGGCCCAGGAGATTATGTTCAGCCAGTGCCCCGACTCTGAGTGAGGGCCAGCCCGGCCTGGATGCTTCTAATTATATACATGTGTTTTTATAGAGCAGGCCATGTCACATGCTGTGACTATTGTGGGAATGGCTGGGTCCAGGGACCAATCACATCCATTCCAAGTATCTGCCCTTTGGCTGTGGCATTCTAGGTTCTGGAGACAAAACTGGAACTTCCAGCTCACCTGTGTTGGTGGATGACAGCTGGGAGGGAATAAGGAGGAAGGCGTGGGGGAGGGGTGGAGCACTAAGGTGTGGGGGAGGGATGATGTGTTAAAAGACCTGGTCTGAAGAACCAGGCACAGTGGCAGCACCTATTAACTCAATATTCAGAAGGCTGAGGCAGGGGATTATGGCAAGTCCCAGGCTAGCCTGGGCTATACAGTAACAACCAATTAAAAAATAAAAAACAAAAGGGATGGGGAGAGAATTCAGTTAGTGAGGCACCGTCTCTGCACACATGAGAACCTGAGCTCTGGTTCCTAGCACCCTGTAAAACACTGGGTATAGCCAGTGTCCGTAATCCTGGTATTAGGGAGGCAGAGGCAAGCAGGTCCCTGGAGCATGCTGTTCAGCAATCTCACTGAATCATTGAGCTCTAGATTCGGTGAGAGACCCATCTCAAAAAACAAGGTGGAAAAGCCAAGCTTGGTAGCATATGCCTTTAGTCTTAGAAGAGGCAAGTAGATCTCTGAGTTCAAGGCTAGCCTGGTCTACATAGCAAGTTCCAGGCCAGCCAGGGCTACAAAGTGAGACCCTGTCTCAAAAAGAAGGCAAGAAAAAGACATACAAGGTGAAGAACTATTAAGGGAAACGCCCAGTGTTGGTCTTGGCCTATACATGTTCACACACATTCTTGGACATGACATGTATGCTGAACATAAAAGGCCCTGAAAGAACTGGAGCCAGCAAGATCAGGGGCTGGGGACAGGGCAAGGACCCATCTACAGCTGTTTCAGGAGAGGTGTGTCAGGAGCCAGCTGGGCAAACTGACTGTTCTGGAGACCAGGCTGGTCTTGAATGAACAGAGATCTATCTGCCTCTGCTTCTCAAGTGCTGGTATTAAAGGCCTGTGTCACCATGCCCAGCAAAGTTCCTTTTTTTTTTTTTTTTAAGTGAGCATGAGTGTATAGCTATAAGTATGTATGTGCACCCTGAGTGTGTGGTGCCCGTAGAGACCAGAAGAGGGCACTGAGGGCCATGGAAAGATGGTTGTTAGTAACCATGTGGGTGCCGGCAACCTGAACCCCGTCCTTTGAAAGAGCAGCAAGTGCTTACCTGCTGAGCCATCCCAGCCCTCTGTGAGAGTCTATTTTAAACAGAAGCTGTGTTTAGCTTCTAAGGCCGCCCCGACTCCATAAAATCTTTAAGCACAGGGTTTTGTTCACGAGCGGTTCTAGAAGGCAGAAACCCATGATTGATTAAAGGTATGGCAGGGCCAGTTCCTTCAGAGGACTGCGGGGAAGTTCCGGCCTCTCCTCCGTTTATGGAGGTCTCTGTTGGGTGTGGAACTCTGCTGGCAAGCGCAGGGCAGCGTCTCGCTGCCACACCATGGGAAGGTCTGGGTAGCGGGGCATGCAGGTGGGTGCTGCCCAGGAACGGCCGCATGGCCTGGTCTCCAGCTCGGGGCTCATGGCAGCTGCCTCACTTCCTCCTCTACCGACTTTCCCAGTTCCCTGACATCGTGGAATTCTGTGAAATGATGGCCAATGCAGGCAAGACAGTGATTGTGGCAGCATTAGACGGAACCTTCCAGAGAAAGGTAAAGTGTCTGACTCGGGCCTGGCAGTGGGTCCTGAGAGGGAGGTGGGGATTTGAGCATGAGACAGTACACCCAGAAGTAGGTATGTTCAGAACAGTGCTCTGACCAGGCCAAGGGCCTGAGAGCATGAGGGTGTGGCTCTCTAGAAAGCGGCATCAGGGTGAGGTATCCTGATCATATGGTGTGAGGGAGAAGCTGCAAGAACTCAGGCTACAACGTGCTTGCCTTGCAAAGCATGCAGACCTGCGATTGATCCTCAGAACCCTCTTTTTAAAAATGCCAGGCAAGCTGGTGCGCATTTATTACCCCACCACTGGGAGGCAGAGACGGGTGAATCTCAGCTCACCCGTAAGCCAGCCTAGCCTACACAGCAAGCTCCAAGCCAGTGAAAAAACCTGTTTCCAAAAAACAAAAACAACCAACGTGGACAGTGCTGGAGGAAGAGCACCTATGGGTACTCTCTGGCTTCCGCACGCATGCACATGAACACAGGCAAAGGGGAGCAGCCTGGAAGAGTGACCAACCATGCCTGCTATCCTGTGTGCAGGCTTTTGGCAGCATCTTGAACCTGGTGCCGCTGGCTGAGAGCGTGGTGAAGCTGACCGCTGTGTGTATGGAGTGCTTCCGAGAAGCGGCCTACACCAAGAGGCTGGGCCTGGAGAAGGAGGTAGCTCCTTGTGCTTCTGTCCATGGAGTCGGGTGGGCCTGGGCTTCTGAGTGCTATGCTCACACATCCTCTGTGGCCCTGTCCACCAGGTGGAGGTGATAGGTGGAGCCGACAAGTATCACTCCGTGTGCCGCCTTTGCTACTTTAAGAAGTCCTCGGTCCAGCCTGCTGGGCCAGACAACAAAGAGAACTGCCCCGTGCTGGGCCAGGCTGGAGAGGCCTCGGCTGTCAGGAAGCTCTTTGCCCCTCAGCAAGTCCTACAGCACAACTCTACCAACTGAGAGGACCTGGGGCCTGCCGGCTCCTACCCCAGGCTGGACTCTCAGAGACCGGAGGAGGGGCTGGAATTGCCGTACCTAATGGACACTGCCCTGGACGGGCTCCTCCGCTTGTCACAGCCTTTTTTAGTTCCCTTGGTTGCAGAGATGCTTCAGCCCAGACTGGGGCCAGCACCTGTCTGGTGGTTAAGGTTTGACATCCAGCCAGAGGTGAGGACAGAGCCACATGGTGTTGTGACATTGTTGGTGCTGACTTCTTCCTCCTTGGTGGCTTTTGCTGCTGGGTTTCAGTCTCCCGGAGCCCCGCCCCTTGCCGAGGCTCCAGCCCTCACAGCCCTCCCTTTGTGCTGAAGCCTGACCTACACTCCCATGGTGCGCCCCCGCCCCGCCCCCTGGGCCAATCTTTCCACAGTGGCACCAGGGCTTGCCCTGCTGAGCCCCAGCCCTGTGACTCGGGACTCTTGTGCGATAGTGTAAACAATTAATATTAAAGTTTGCTACCTGAGAGCGTATTTCTCTTTAACCTGGGTTTCCCCAAATCTTGCAGCCAGAGTCCACATGACCTGGGGGCAGGGATTTCTTCCCTCTTTTGCCCAAGGGCAGCAGTCACCCACCTTCCTGTCTGGTGGGTTTCAGGACAAAAGTGGCAAAGCAGCGGGGGAGCCGAGGGGATGGCGTCTGGCTGGCGCTGGGAGGTCAGGTTTGGTAACCGACACTTGATTTGGGTTGAGAAAGCAGCTCGTGTGCCTTGGAAAGTGGGCTGTGACAACTCTCTTGAAAGCCAAAGACCTGCGTCTAAGATGTGTCGGTGTGTCCCTGGCGCCGAGCCCAGATTGGGGACATGCTCCAGAGGGGAGGGAGGCCTCCTGCTCCGAGCCTGGGTATATATAGCACCTTGTTAGTTTGTTCATACTTCAGATTTGGAAACTGTCAGAACCCGCTATTGATGGCCTCATCATTGCACAAAAGAGCTGCCTCGGCGGGCACGTACTTCCCGATAGAGATGACTCGACCTCCCCCACTGTGCCCTTCACTTCGAATGGCAAGTGTCTGCTCTGGAGGAGGCAGTGAGAGGGGCAGCCTCGAGGCCTGCTCTAGGAAGGTACCCATGCTGGCTATTCAGGACAACCCATCTTTACCAGCTGGCACAGTACTATTTTAGGATGCAGAAGAAGGCAGTTGGAAGGAGACCCCATTGGGGGGAGCTCTATCCCATGTTCAAAGTACGCGTTCTAGCTGGGAATACAGCTTTATCCCCAACACTCAGGAGGCAGAGCCAGGTGGATCTCTCTGAGTTCCAGGACAGCCAGATCTACACAGTGAGACCCTGTCTCAAAAAAAGCTCTGGAGCCAGGCTGAGGCAGGAGGATTGCCTTAAGTTGGAAGCTTGCCTGGGTTACATAGTGAGAGACTCTGGTCTAGCCAAACATGGCAGCACAGGCCTGTGCTTCAGAGTCTGGGGTAAGTTTTGAGGCCAGCCTGGGCTATCTAGATACAATCTTTGAAAAGCTGGGGTGTAGCTCAGTTGTCTAACATGAAGTCCAGGTTTAAAACCAAGTACTTGGGGAGGGTCCGAGGGTCATCTCTGGCTATATAAGCTTGAGGCCTTCTCAAAACAATACTAATCAAAGTGTATTTCTACCCCTGTCTGAGGCGCCATCAAGGACAACACACTGAGAAAAACATTTATTCCATCTCCCAACTGGTCTACAGAACATGAGGGCAGGGATGTCCCCACCAAGTCCCCAGTACATTCAGTGCAGGGGCCCCTGTCCTCCTCACTAGCATCTAAGGACTGCTGGGGAGCTGGGGAATATTTACATAAAGCTGGGTGTGGTCTCCAGGCAAAGCTCCTCCCTCCCGTCAGGGGCGGGAGCAAGAAGGAAGTGCTGTCCAGTGCCTCTGCCTGCTCTACAGCTGGCGGCAAGCAGCCTGGGGACAGCTGGCAGTGGTGACCCCAGAACACAGCACTGAGCATAGAGCCCAGCCGAAGCTGGGTAATGAACCTGAGTGAGGGAGTGAGGAGCCAGCCGAGGCCCGGCACTCCGAGGAGATAGGTGCATGGACACCCAACCTTGTCTTTGGAGGGAAAAAAAGGTAGTTGGGGCTCCTGTGGCCTCCAGCTCCGCCTTCCAGCGAGGGGAACGATGGCGTATGTCAAAAACAGTATACAGCAGGCACCTGCCCTGGCCGGGACAGGATCCAGGGTTATCAAAAGCAACAAGGAACGGAGCACACCGCTCGGTGGTAGCACTGGTTAAGCAAATTCAAGGCCCTGGGCGCCATCCCAGGCACTGGGGATCGGCAGAGAGAAGATCTAGTGGAAACCCTTTGCTAGAAAGGAGGTTTGGGTGGGTGGCAGTGAAGCCCCTTTGGGCACAGGCACTTCGGGTGTGCTCTGGCTGGCTGCAGCTAGGATGCAAAAAGGCATGGGCTCTTTGGCTGTAACAGGCGAGGGTCTGCAGTTCCAGGCAGCAAACCTCCAGAAAGAAGTCCAGGGGAGAGGCGTGGCCCCAAGCACTCCCCCTGCCTCCACCCCGGCTGCTCAGTACACAGGGGGAGGCTGGTAGCCTTCAGTGGTCTCCACGTTCTGGGTGAAGGGCGGCTGCTGGTAGTTTTCCACCGAGGCACTGGGGTAGGAGGCGTAGGCTGTGTTAGGGTCTGGGGTGGGGTCCACATAGTTCTGGATGAAGGCATCCACTCCAACCTTGTAGCGCTGGTAGGCCAGGGAAGCCAGCATACCCTGCAGGGGAAGACCCAAGATGTGGGCAGGGCAATGGGACTTCCATGTCCACCCAAGCCTCCGCAGCTGCCCTCCACAGCCCACCTACCCAGGAAAAGATGGAGAAGAAGCTGAAGGTGATGGCTGCCCGTGCTGAGTCCGCTCCCACCAGGACATCTTCAGATTTGGTGACTGCCCACTGGTTGGTCAGGAAGCAGAAACCAACGAACCACAGGAAAGTCCAGAGAGCTGGGGAGACAAGGAGGGAAGAGTTGGCCCCAGGGACAGACGGGATTCCCAGGGGCCCAGGAGGGACTCAAGGCTTTGTGCTGTGTAACCGATAGAAGCAGAGGGCAGTGGGGGCTTAGGGGTCCGCTGCTAGGTGGGATGGCTGAGTCCAGAAACCTGATGCCATGCCTCACCCTTGTGCCCCAACACCCTGGAGTTTCTGAAGTCAGGATGCCTTGTGTGCCATCCCAGGGTACAGGGGGACCTAGGAGAAACCTCAGGTGAGGCTCATGATCCTGAGTTGCTATCGGCAACCCCTCCCAACAACACCAAGGCCCCTCAGTTGTGAAGCCCTGGTGTGCCAGTGCCGCAGGCATACCTGAGAAGAGCAGGTCACCAATGACCAGGTACTTGCGGTCGGTAGCATTGCTTATCTGGGAGAAAAAGGCATCGACCACCAGGAAGAAGGCTGAGGCCAGAAAGGCCAGCACCCCGATGGCACTGCCATAACGGCACGCGTCCTCATTCTGGTTGAACACACATTGTAACTGCTTAGATTCATGAGTGTTGCTGTAGCCCTCGCCGAAGATGCAGGAGAACACGATCAAGGCCAAGACCTGAGGGGAGAGGAGCGTTGACGGGCAGGTGCAGACACCTGTGGGCCAGATCCTGTGCAGACCCCTCCTGGGGCCCAGAGATGAGGATCCTAGCAGGGCCTCAAATGTCTCCTGCCTCTCTACTGATGCCCCGTTCTGAGAACGGTGTGTCAACCCCTCCTGGACTCCTGGGAGTGAGGTGATGGGCAGGCTGTGGCCAGGGTATCATCAACAATTCCTCACCACCAGGGGCCGGAGGGCAGACTGGGCTATTATGGGAAAGGGCTATCCCCAGCAGTCTGACTACAGGTGTCATCTCATTTAGGCTTGTGACAAAAGACAAAGGATAATCTGCTCATCTCCATTAGCAAATGAGATTTAGGTTGAGGTTTTTGTTTGTTTTGTTTTTTTTTCGAGACAAGGTTTCTCCGTGTAGTTTTACTGACTGTCCTGGATCTCGCTCTGTAGACCAGGCTGGCCTTGAACTCAGAGACCTGCCTATCTCTGCCTCCTGAGTGCTGGGATTAAGGGCGTGTTCCACCACCGCCTGGCTGTTTTTGGTTGGTTTGTTGGCTTGGGTTTTTCTTTTGCTGTTGTTTGTTTGTTTGTTTTGGCTAAAGGGGTCACAGTTAGTCCAGGCTGGACTCTGTATAACCTAGGATGATCTTTACTCCTGATCCTTCTGCCTCCACCTCCCAAATGCTGGGATTACAATCATGTACTACCATCTTGCTTGGGGCTCCCCCAACCCTGTCCCAGCCTCATTGCTGGAAATTTGAACCTAGAGCCTCAGACATGCTGGGCAAGTGCACGATTGGTTGTTTTGTGTTTGAGAGAGAGGGTCTCACTATGTAGCCCTGGCCATCCTGGAACCCAGAGAACCGGCCTCTGCCCCCAGAGTGGAGTGCTGGGATTAACAGCGCACACCACACTTGCTCCTCTGGCTGTTTCATCGTTAAGACCAATCACTGCTCTTGCCGAGGATCTGGATCTGGTTCCCAGCACCCACATGGTGGCTCATAACTGCCTGTAACTCCAGTTACAGGTTATCGGGGGACTGGATAACTGTCTGCTGACATCTGTGGATACCAAGCTTGCACATGGTGCACCTTCATATACACAGGCAAACACTCATACACAAAAAAGACAGGATCTGGCTCTGGCTGGCCTGAAGCCTATGGCAATCCTCCTGTCTCAACCTCCTCACTGCTGAGATTACAGGTGTGAAGCACCACATCCCATTTGAAAGAGCTTTAGACAAGATGGGCCACAAAAATCACGGTGGCGAGACTCAAGAGTTTCATCCAACCCTCACTCCAACACCCTGAACCGAGTCAATTCTACGGCATCAACCAGCATCTTCCAGAACACCCTCTTAACAGCAGCCCTGGCCCCTCCAAGACTCCCGGCTGGCCAGCCCTCTCCTCTTTGGCACGCAGGCTGCTCGCTGGCTGCTCCGCTCCAGAGAGCTACAGCCTAGATTCCTGCCCCACACTTGTTCCTCAGAACAAGGTTCTTTTTTTTTTTTTTTTTTTTTTTTTTTTTTTTTTTTTTTTTTTTGTTTTTTCGAGTTAGTCACATGGTTTTCTCACACTTCCATGTCCTT